ATAATAGACTTCTCCTTCAGACAATTTTTCTGTCATTCCATATCCTCTAAAATTGTTTTCCATTCCATTTTCTTCGCTAATTCTTAATCCTTTGTTAATTACTGTATACCAGTCTGGTCGACTGCTGTCCCTTCTCTTTTGGACAAAATTATGAATTACTTAATAAAATATACCATACCCTAAATAAATTTCTGCAACTTACCTTTTACCAGCCACTCGAGTTGCTAGGTTCAGATTTGAATTTTTATTTAATGATCGAATAAAATATTTTGATCAATTGTTGTACATAGATACTACAATGGTTATGTGATGTCTGGTTGGTTTAGCTTAAGAGTTCCCTTAAGAAATACTCATCATTTTTCAAGCATCTATACACCTTTTTTTCAGATTATCTCTTTCTCAAAGGTCATTTTTTTACTGAAATTCACAAAATATTGGTGGTTCCAAATATTTACTTTACATTGCTTATTACTTTAAAAAACCTGTAAATGTTTATTATACAACTCTTACTTTTTCATGTTTTTTATAATTTCATACTTTTTATCAATACTTGCTGTATTTTTCTTTGTTGAACATTATTCATTGTACTTTATGTATTTTAATTGGGATTTTACTGTTAATGAGGGGGAAATCTAATGTCACAAGACTTTTCCTATTGTAATTGAAAATAAATAAATAAATAAAGTAAAACTGGATAAAAAGTGCATCTTAGAATTGAGGAAATTTCATATTCTTTATATTTTTAATAGATTATTATCCTGTTTCTGTAAATTTAAGCATTTTTGTCATAATAACATTTATAATATAAAACTTTTTTCTTAAATCTTCAATATTTATTAACTAATTTTAGTTACTGTATGTAATTACCCAACTGCAAGCTGATCTTTTTTTAATTTTGTTGTGGTTCAAAAATCTCTTGACTTCAAATCAATATCATTAATGCAGTCTAGTAAAGTATGTGACACCCTTTACCGATAGTTGAAAGTTTTGAAAAATAGTGCCAGAAACTGCTACAGATAAGTTTCTATGACAGTTTCTGTGAATTTTGTATGCAAACATGGAAAACTATTTCTAGAGAAGTCATTGCTGGACCATTTAAAAAGTGCTTAATTTCAAATGCACTTGATGACACAAATGATGATGCTCTGTACAAAGACAATGACAAAGAATCAAGTGACAATGAACCAAAGTCATCTGATAACAACAACTGAACAATTAAATGGCATAAAATTTATTCCTTATGCTTGATTTTATTTTCATTTTTTATTTTTATTTTCAATTTTGATTTCCTGGTGTCGGCTTATAATCAAATAAATACAATATCAAGTCCTTATAATGCTTCTATACATTTTTAATATTGATTTATTAAAAATGTTTTTATGCAATTTTTTTCTGTAGTGATAATTTATTTTATTTTTGTAAGTAAAATTGAGAATGGCTAATAGGAACTATTGATACATTGCAGTTAGAGCAGAATCTCATTTTAATGGATCACTTAGGCTGTCAAAAATCATCTGTTATTCCAAGAATCATTATATTGCAAACACCAGATTTCCCACACACCCAGGAAAATATCCATTATTGAAAAAATTCCATTTTTTAACCTCTGAATAATTTAAAGTATGGTTATGGTTATTTCTTATATCTGTCTGTTGAGATTTCTGTCCTTTATTCTATAGAATATGTATGTTACAAGACTGTACATTATGCCATTTGCGTGTACAACAAAGCTGATGGAAACTATATACAGTAAGTACAAAAATAGGAAAGTACAGTACATATGCTCAATAGCACTTTATTTGACTTTACGATTTTTTAAAAAACTGGTTTATCTTGTTTTGTTTATATGCTGCTTTTCTGCCATTGAATACAATAACCACTTGGTATTAGCAATGTCATGTACAACCTGCTTGTTTATGCTAAAACTCATCAGGAAGATCATTATGATTTGAAAAGACTCAATGGCCCCACTAAATTTCTGCATTATGCTGGATTGTCATTGGATTGTTCACCAGGTAGCATATCCTCAATTGTATCAGTCTGCTGATGCTCTTCATACAATTACTCAATTACACACATTCCAGTTGTAACAAGTCCATCATCAAACTCTATAAATTCATTGAAGTCAACACATATACCAGCAATTCTTTCCCATGCACTTTCCTCCAGCTGCAACTTTTCTTCCACGTCACTGTCCTCAATTTTGTGCTTATCGTCAGAACAGTGACCTGACAATGATCTTGACCATGCATAAAGCCTCTGGCAAAAGCAATTTATGATTATCTGAGGTGTTATTCTTCCATGCAAATACAATGAATTGTATGGCTTGCAAGAGAGTTTGTCTCATATCTTGGATATGACTTCTTTCCCTTTGCAACAAATCATATTGGACATTTGAAGAATCTTATTATTCTCAGGTCAAGTTGCTGAAAATGACTTATGCAGTTAGGTGTGAAAAAGCAAAGCTCCACATTTCTCAGCCCCTGGGCATCATTGACCAGCATGGGATAACAATCTAGAAAACTAGGTTACTTTCTTGTTTTGCAATCCCATGCATTCATCAAATGAGCAAAGAAATTCTTCAAATAGTTCACTTTTGGGTTCAAAATTTTCTTTTATTCTTTCAATACTTGCAAGGCAGGGTGTGGACTTTCTTGAAACAGGTTGTATTTCTCTATTTTCTGATAGCATGCAAGGGATACTTCTCAGAGCCACCTTCATTGGCTAAAAGCAGCAACATTATTCTCTCCTTACTGTTGTTCATGTTGAAACATATTTTTTGTCCTTAAAAGTTAAGATTTTGTTCCATGTAACATTGTAAAAAAAGGTCTGTCTCATCACAATTGAAGACATTTCATGGGTTTTATCTTTCCAAAATTTTTGGAAGTTGATCTCTCTTCCACGTTTTGACAGTTACCTTGTATACACTTTTTTCATTTACAGTATTAGTAAATTTAAGATTGTGCCATTTGATTTCCAGATTTGTAGTTTGTCAGAAAGAACACCATATGATTCATTTAACTCAGATCAAGTCCATTTATTTTACAATTATTTACAGTATATACAGCAATACTTTTCGATTGCTACCAACAACATAGTCTAAAGTCATGATTTTTTTGTCCTGTTTGCTTGGTTAAGTTGCCTTTTATCCAACTTTGAGATCCAAGGCCATTCAATCCAGAGCTGTGTCATTAGCTTTCCTTAAGGTCCACACACCTTTTTCAACTTGTCCAGGATGACTCACACTAACTGACCCCCTCCGAAAAACAGATTCTGATAGAATAGCTTTGTCTTTACTCGTTAGGCCTCCTTGATAGTATCATATATTAAACTCTGTCTCTCTCTGAATTTTGCAAACCATCCATTCAATACAGTAGATTCCTTCTGGATTCCCATTTTTGCTATTTCATCTAAAACTCTCTGGTGAACAAAAGTTTCATCAATACTAATGGCCACTGAATGTATTGATATTTGATGAATCTACTTGATCAAAATGAATTCAAGTTCCTTGAATTTGCCACTTTAATCTTGCATCACTAATCTTCTGAGCTACCAAATTTTTCACTTTTTCATAAAATTTTTGCTCTTAAGAATCGTATTGAGTCTCTCTGACTGTCTGTGTAGCAGATTTAACTGGTTAGCAATATCAACTTGTTTTGTTTGAGAATTACTTTCAACTTGCTGTATGATCTAGACTTACAAAGATCACAATATGGGGTGATTACAAAGCTGAAATTTTATGTCTGTGCAAGAAAAACACTCGACACTAGTCTGTATTATTTTACGTTCCTATCTTTTTTTTTCTGGGTGATGATGTGACATTTCTGAACTTTATTTTATGACATCATCAGTATGAAATATTACTGTTATGTGAGTATAACAGTGTGATTTCAAGCGACTATATCCCCAGTCAGTCAGATATATGCACGTCTGGAAGTCTTTGCTGCTGACACATGCACATCTGGAAGCATCAAGCTAGGAGTAGTTTCCAGTCACTAATTAATGCACTATAGTAGGGTGCTGATGCATTGCTGGAACATTAGTAGTGTGAACTATGACAATTATGCATATATTTTGGTCTGTGTGCAATATATTTTTGTAATTTGGTGCCCAGAAACACCCAAATATTAATTAAATGTTGAAAAAATGCAAATTTAGAGTAGATGGACTAGAAAACAAATCCATTACTCCAAATTACAGATATGCTGAAAGGTGGTAAAATTACATTGATTTGATGGGAAAAATTCATTATTCTGAGAAATCCGCTATTCCACAATCTATTAAAATGATCTACTGCACATTTTATTTCTAGTTTTTAGATTTAATAACTTTTTCGGTAACTGAAAGCAAATTTGATACTATTACCGATTAATACTTTTAATGATATTTTATGATTTGTTTTGCATTTCTGTCACTTTTTTACATTTAACATTTTTTTAAATATTGCAATTATAAGCAAAATCCACAAATCTTGACATCATTATTTTTAATAGTGACAGAAAACACATCCATGTTTGTGATTACCAATAAGTTTATTATTAACTGGAACATTTTCCACCCAATTTCTAATCATCTTTAGCATCAAATGGTTGTAAGATCTTGTTAGTTATATTTGCTTAAGTCCTAAAAATCCATTGTTGTTCAAAAATTCTTAGAAGTATTGAATTTTGATGAAATTTTCAATGATATATCTTTTTACTGTAGTTTGAGAAGGTTGTCAACTTTTAATATACTGATCCAGTTTATTAAATTACTAATATTTATAATCTTGATGTTTCTGACTGATCTAATACAGCAGTTACAAAATCTTAGTTTAACTCTGTAAGAAAAAAGGTGAAATTTTATCAGAGCTGACTCTATCAGAAAGGGGTAATTTACAGAATTTTTATGTGGACTTGTATTATTTTTTGAAAAATGTAAATTTAAAAATTCTTGAAATCCTGTTGTTAAACTGATTTGAATGAACTTTTCATTTTAATAATAATTTTGTTTTATATTAGGAACACGAATATCTAAAAAATATAGTGTGTAAAATATCAGCGTATAAACCAAATGTTCTGCTGGTGGAAAAAACAGTTTCTCGTCTTGCTCAGGAAATGCTATTAGATATGGGAATTACACTTGTTTTGAATGTTAAACCTGTAAGTATTTTTCTTGTATTTGTTATAACTCGATTCCCTTTTTATTTTTTATTAAATTAAAATTATTTAAATTTTATGAACTGTTTAGATTTTTAATTGTTTTTTTATTGTTATATTTATTTTTTCTTATAATAATCATAGATACATAACCAAACAATTGCCTTTAATAATTAGGCTTTATAGCTCGATTATTAAAGGCAATCATTTGGTTATGTATGTAATATCTATATCAGGCTTTGGGATGTTTGATATACTTATAATAATCATTGTTGTTATTCTTATTTTATAATTTCTTACTTAATTTATTTATTTAACTTTTTTGAAACTTTTAAAATATTTAAAGATTAATTTTAAAAATAGACTGTAATGGAAAGAGTTGCTAGATGTACCCAAGCCAGTATTGTATCATCTATCGATGCTCACTTAGGAAGACCCCATCTTGGTGTTTGTCATTACTTTCGAGTGCAGACGTTTCATTTATCTGGTAGTAAGTGTGAATTAGCTTTATCAGATTTTTTTTATTTTTAAATAAATTAATTGTTGTTCAAATTAATTTGCAGATTTACAATGAATTATGAAAGAAAATCATATTTTTCTAATCATTTCCTAACAATGACTGTAAATAATATAAATTTACAACAATTTAAAAGTGCATTATAAGTGCAAATTTAATCTTATGTAAAATTTTTTAGGTTATGGAAATAATGAAAAGTCAAATACAGTATTCAAATCACAATTTATTAAAATTTTGTTTTTTCAAATATTTTTTGAAGATTTTTTTAACTTTGAATTTAATGAACATGATCTAATTTATTCAAGCATTTGAATATATTTTCTTTTTCACTATTAATTTAAAGGACAGATCCTATTTAAAGCTTGTAAAGGAAAAAAGCTTTTCTAACTTGTTTTCTTCAGTTATTTTTTTTTTCTTCCTCGTTCTCATCATGTCTTGGTATTTTATGTTGTTGAATAGGTTAACTTCATTAAGGATTAAGTATAAATGCAAGTAAAGCACTGTTAATATCAGCAAGGTCATCAAACATTTATTCCACATTCCTGCTTTTTAATCATAACAAGTTCATCACACTTTCAAAATCTTCCTGAACTTAACATCCATTAAAACTTAATCCAGCCTTTCTAAAATAATTTACAATTGTTAACTGCTTCACTTCATCCCATGATTTTTCAATGAAATGTATTTCATCAAGAATGCTTAATTTTGTTTCAACTTTGAAATTTTCACCTAGTATCTTATAACTTTGAAATATTCCTAACATCCTGATATTTATATATCCTATAATGAATGAGCTTTAAATTCTATAATAATCATCAAATCAAAAGGTTGCAGCACACTACTACAGTTTGGTGGTATGAATATAAATTCAATATTTCTCAAGTTCAATTTAGATGGATACCTTGTACATCTTTCCAGGAACAAAATAATTTTTCTGTTGTATAACTCAATTTTGAATCTAATGGATAAATATTTTGTAAAATTTTTGATGTTATTCATTAGTTATTTAGCATTAGATATTTTAAAATATTTTTTAGGCATTTCAGTTTGACTGTCTATTACTAGTGGCTATTTTTTGGTCTCAACAGAACTTTAACTTCTGTTTACTAATTTTGCCGTTATGGCACTTTTGCTTAAGAAAACAAAAGATTTTGCTAAGTTTGTTTGTTTGTTTAGTTATGGCAATGCAATACTTGGGCGATCTGCCTAGGGGAATGCCTTCCAAGAGGTCTTTTAAGGGAAACTGGCCTCCTATTTAAGTGTTACAGACATGAGGAAAATCTGGAAAATTCCACTTGGCCAGCCTGTCCAAGCGAGGCACAAACCCACGACCAAACTCCCAGTATTCAGGTTCCTGGCCATTGATGGGCCTATTTTGCTAAGTAGAAAACTGAAAAATGTGTTTTACCAACATTTTATACATCTTTAGGTTTATAGTTTTCACAAAATAAATTTACTTCCTACTCTTTCACTTCCTGGATCCATGTTTTCACTCTCATAATTTTGTAGGCCAAATTTTGCTCTTTTTTCAATGATTTATTCATTTATTTGATGCTTTAAATCCTGCAAATTAAGATCTGTTGCAACTTTGAGGGCATTTTTCTTATTTTTTTCCATTAATAGTAATGTTCTGGAGCTTTGAAAGATACAATATAATCTTGTAATATTTCTTTACGTTTCTCATGTGGCAAAGACTTAACATATTTTTCTTTTTGGCAAATGAACTGTACTTTGTAATATTGTTCTCAATGTTCTGTCAGCTTTTAACAATTGTAATCTAATATAATAAAGAGGTAATGTTTGTATGTAAGTTTGGATGCAGCAGGTAATCTCCAAAACTACTCATCCGATTTCAAAAATTTTTTCACCAATATTTAGAATGGAACTTCAGGGTGGACATAGGCTGTATATTATTCCGTTAAACATGGGGGATGGACAGTTCTTTATGGTAAGC